AGGTGGGCTTGCAGAGGGGTGGTTGTTGACTATAGGAAGAGATATTTCTCAGAGAAATCTGTCCGAACTTGTCAGTGTGTTCTCCTCCTTCCAGAGTCACCCATGCCCAGAGGCAGGAGGTGTCCAACAGCAGCTCCATCACCCAGTTCCTCCTCCTGGCATTCGCAGACACAAGGGGGCTGCAGCTCTTGCACTTCTGGCTCTTCCTGGGCATCTACCTGGCTGCCCTCCTGGGAAACAGCCTCATCATCACCGCTGTAGCATGCGACCACCGCCTCCACACCCCCATGTACTTCTTCCTCCTCAACCTCTCCCTCATTGACCTGGCCTCCATCTCCACCACTGTTCCCAAATCCATGGCCAATTCCCTCTGGGACACCAGGGCCATCTCCTATGCAGGATGTGCTGCTCAGCTCTTTCTCTTTGCATTCTTGGTAGTAGCAGAGTATTGTCTTGCATTGCCCGCTGGGACACCGTGGCCATCTCCTATGCAGGATGTGCTGCTCAGCTCTTTCTCTTTGCATTCTTGGTAGTAGCAGAGTATTGTCTTCTCACCGTCATGGCCTATGACCGCTACGTGGCCATTTGCAAACCTCTGCACTATGGGACCCTCCTGGGCAGCAGAGCTTGTGTCCACATGGCAGCAGCTGCCTGGGGCAGTGCTTTTCTCAACTCTTTCCTGCATGCTGTCAATACATTTTCCATACCCCTCTGCAAGGGCAATACCGTTGACCAGTTCTTCTGTGAGATCCCCCAGATCCTCAAGCTCTCCTGCTCAGATGCTTCTCGCAGGGAATCTGGGCTTATTGTGGTTAGTTTTTCTGTAGCTTTTGGCTGTTTTGTTTTCATTGCGGTATCCTATGTGCAGATCTTCAGGGCCGTGCTGAGGATCCCCTCTCAGCAGGGACGGCACAGAGCATTTTCCACGTGCCTCCCTCACCTGGCTGTGGTCTTCCTGTATATCAGCACTGGAATGTTTGCCTACCTGAAGCCGCCCTCCATCTCCTCCCCATCCTTGGATCTGGTGGTTAGTGTATTGTATTCTGTGGTTCCTCCAGCAGTAAATCCCTTCATCTACAGCATGCGGAACCAGGAGCTCAAAGACACACTCAAGAAATGGATTCCATGGGTAGTTTTTCAGCCACAATAAGCTGCTGATGTCTCTTCACAAGTTATTTCCATCGTATCTGGGGAACCTCCTGTGCTTTGGGCATTTTATCAGTGACAGTTCTGCTTCCCCAGGAATGTTTGCATGCACTCCACTTCTCCAGCAGCATGAACCATGGCCTGTCTAACCCAGAGATCTTTGTACATCTATCTGGCCCAGTGGCATAGCTGGCCTTCCCTGTCACATCTCTGTAATATAAGGGGGGCTCCTGCATGCCGCTGTCTGGATGTTCTTCCAAAGCTTAGGTCAGGAACAGGCTGAAGAAATTGCCCCACCCAGCATTGCCGTGCTGCTGTGCTTGTGTTCTCCATGGGCTGAGGGGTGGAGGGCATGGGGTGATGTGTTAGGGAATGAAACTGGACCGAGATTTCATTGGTTGCCTCAGTATTTTGCTACTTCCAGCTCTGGCCGCTCTCCACAGGTTTTTGAGTGAGTTTTGCTGCACAGCTATTTCCCTCCTGCTGCTGGGCTCAGTGCCTGCACTGGGGGAATGGCCAGCCCTGCTCCACCTCTCTTCTTGTCCATACCCCGGCAGAAACCCAAGCAGGGATATCTGTGAAACCCTGTATGGGATGTGAGTAGGGCTTGGTAGGTTCCAGGACCTGGTGGAGGCTGTCAGAAGTAGGAGGAACAGAAGAGGGACAGGGCACAAGGGGGTGTCATGGAGATGATGAAGAGAAACTGTTCCTCACACTGAATACACCTTTTGCCATGCTGTGCCTGCACAGTGGGTCCATGGGAGCATATGTGAGTCAGTAGGGCTGGCTCAGCACAGGACAGAACACTGCCAGGAGCATGAAGATGCTGCCGGGGGGTGACCACCCGGAGTTGGTAGCTGCAAGAAAAGTCAAGAGCAGAGAAAAGAGCTTCAAGTGCTGTGTTAGAGCCTGAGGCTGAAGAAGGGAAAGGCAGGGCTGCTGCTGAAAGAGGGCAGTGATCTGGTAAACAGGAGACACCAACGGGGCTGGGTCCTTGTTTCTGCTGGGATAGAATTAATTTTCTTCCTGGTGACTGGTGCAGTGTTGCTTTTTGGATCTGGTATGAGAGTGATGTTGTTAATAAACTGTTTTCCTTGTTGCAAAATAGTGCTTAGATGAGTCACGGACTTTCCAGCTTCCCCTGCTCTGCCAGGTGCACAAGAATCTGGGAGAGGGCACAGCCGGGACAGCTGACCCCAACTGGCCAAAGGGATATTCCAGACTATATGATGTCATGCTTGGAGGTACTTGGCTGGGGAAGACAGATCGCTGCTCGGGACAGACTGGACATTGGCCAGCGTGTGCTGAGCAATTGCACTGTGCATCACTTCTTTTGTATATTCTGTATATACTGGTTTTTTTCCCTCTACTGTTTTATTAATCTGTCTTTGTAGGGATTGGCGACAGGAAGATCTCACGATGTACGGAAAGGATAGGGACTGGCCCCCTCATGACAGAGCTTATGATGTAACTGAAAAGGTGGGAACGAAGTAGTTTGCATATAAAAGCAGTGAAAGAGAGTTAATAAATGCCATTTGTGATGTCCTCATATTGGTGCCTGTGTCTCAGTGGCCCGAGGGTGGGGGATGTGAGGCTCTCATGCCATCTCACCTCGAACAGGAGTTGTTGCTGCAGGCAGGCAAAGAAAGCCCGGCTGCAACAAGTGGTGACCCCACCGTGATACTGTGAGGCAGCAGACCGCGGGCGGTCGAGTGTGTGTGGGTCC